ATAAATAAAAAAATCTAGAAAAAAAATATTATAATATTATATGAAATAGTCGAGCTCATCTTTTATAAACCCAAATCTATCAATATTTCTTGAGAAATATTATTCCCATATTGCTCCAATGCAGATAGATAAGCTGGAATTCGACAATTTCCAATTGCCTATGTCGTTACTCGGTCATTTAATATCTATCTCTTGAAGTCAAGTGGGTTGATACTCCTTTTTGTCTAGCAGATTATATATGGAACGAAACGTTCACATCGCAAGAAGTTTGCAGTTTGGGTTCATCTTCCACACCTTCTAAAATACAATGCTCATAAATATCAATAGTTAGTTCTTTTTTGATGAGAGATTTTTTGAGACCCTTTGCCTTCTGTATATTTTTATACTCATCTTCAGTTTTCAATGCATAAGACTTTGATCAGTTTCCAGCATATCTTAATGCTCGAGTTCCTGCAAACTCATCTTTCTACTTCCTGATCACTTTCTTATTTTTTAGCTTACGTGAACCATCGGAAAGACATATTCATTGATCTGGAGGAAGTTTTTCAAGTAATGGATGGTCTACAGGATAATCACTGAAATCATAGAGCTCTGCATCTTTAATCATATCAGCATAGATGTCCTCAGTCTCAATTTCGATAATTAGTGAGTCTGTATCGATATAACATAATTTTGCACAATCTCTATACTTATGCTTGATATGATTATACCAGAAATCATACATGTAATATTTACTAAGATCTAAAACCGAAGCCCTGATATAGATTGGCTTGTTAAATACAATATTCGTTAGCCTCTGATGGACTGCTATAAGATTACTTCCATGAAATATTTTACATCTAACTAGTGCCGGGTCTGCCAATATTTTACGAAGTCGATGCTTCTCTCCTATTGGTTATACTAAATCTACTTGTGTACGATGCTGAACATCCTCTATAGTTTTTTCGAATACTGCATTGTTCATTAATTTTCATAGATCTCTTTCGAATGTATTTTTTGCATCATGACGCCGTATAGTATTTGTTGTAATATATAGTTCGAGCCAGGAGATTGATCAAACTCTAATACACGGTATACATGCTCAAGTTCCATCTCTAGTTCAAGACACTGTTGAAAATTTCAGTAATGAATAATATAGCGATCTTTAGTTTCTAAAGTTGCTACCAATTTTTCTGTTTCTGCAAATTTTTCACTGCTCAGTTTATCAATTAGGTTATTATTTTGGTATAAACTAAGCTCACTTCACTTAACTACCTGGCAGAGTGGATAGTCACTATGTGTTGAGTGAAGATTTTCTAGATATCTTAATTTTACTTCTCAAGCACTACCTCGTTTTGCAGTTGGTGAAATAAACTATATATCGGGTAAGTTGTTTATGTCAAGCTATCTAAATCCTCCTGTTGACAAATATTAAGACATAGCCCATCTATATAAATTATTAGCATCTAGATAAAGAAGCCATTTGTTGGCTTTTCACTTATCATAACCTTTCATTCCCGAAAAATTGGCTTTTGCTATACGACATGGCGCTATAGAATTTCTATCTCACATCTAACATTGAACGAACTTATACATATCCTCCTGCCTCTTATGGATTAATCTGAGCTTGACCTTAGTCATCTTTTTTGCTATATCAAATACGAATGATGCTAATGTTATATAGTTCAAAGGATCTAGTCCAAATACTTCCTTCATTATTATTCGAAAATGCTGAATTGAGTTCGCTAATATTAAAACATTGGTTCTGAGATATATATAAAAATTTCCTGCTCTTAATATATTAATTATTAATTTTTCGATATCTTGCCATGATGGAAGAGAGGTTATGACCTTTAAAGATGGTTGGTTAGTAGATTGAGTAGTAGTTGATATATAATATTTGGTAAATATAAAGACTAAAAGTTTTATTATTTACTTATAAAAAATTGTTTAAATTGAATTTTTACTTTATATAAAAATAAGTACTATGTATACTTGCTCTTTTATTGATTATTCTGGCAAAATTTGTATGCATTGTAGTACTCGCTCTGAGGGTTGCTGTTTTTATTATAAAGCTTTACCTCATAATCCCTGCTCTGAATGTGGTAAATCTACTTGTTCTGTTTCTGGCTATTGTTCTAAACATATTAGAGGGTTTTATGTTTCTAGATATTTTCAGAAACATCTTAAGAAAAATTATATATAAAATTGGTTAGAGCTTTGTTCCAACTTTTTGGTTAGAGTTTTGTTCCAACTTTTTGGTTAGAGTTTTGTCTAACTTTTTTATGATTTTTGCTATCTTTAAGTAATGATCGAAAAGCAAAATGCTATATATATTTCGGTTAGGTTTTTATAAGTATATAATAAAACTAATTTTGTCCTAACTTTTTGTTCTGTCGATATAAAAGAAAGGCTTCGAGTGACAATCGAAAAGCAAAATGCTATACATATTTCGATTAGGTTTTCTATAAGTATATAATAAAACTAATTTTGTCCCAACTTTTGGTTAGAGTTTTGTTTAACTTTTTTATAATTTTTGCTATTGATAGAAAGGCTTTGAGTGACAATCGAAAAGCAGAATGCTATACATATTTAGTAAACAAATAAGCTTTCTATGCTCTGCTATGCTCTGCATCTGGAGTCGCTATGCTTCTCCAGGATAGAAAGCCAAATAGAAATCAAATAAAATAACTATGCTCCGCTTTACTTCACTACTACATTATACACACCTTAGGTATATGCTCCTTAATGTTAGAAAGCTAATTAGTAATCAAATTAGATAGAGAAAAGGCTTTGAGTAACGATCGAAAAGCAGAATTCTATACATATTTCATCTTTGACAACACAAGCGTGAATCATTCATCACTTGAATGATGATAGTTAAGTGTTCTGTGGGTATGAAAGAAAGGCTTCAAGTAACGATCGAAAAGCAGAATATTATACATATTTTATCTCTGATGACAAAAGCATGAATCATTTGTAACTTGAATGACGACAATTAGATTTTCTGTCCCAATTCTCTCAGATTTATACTACTCTACCACTAGCTTTGCAGATTTTACTATAACCCGAGACAGACCTCTATTTGCACCACTATTTGAGATATTATTTTTAGTTGCCGATATAACAAAAATATAGAAGACCCCAAAGAAATTGCTCTTGCATTACTCTGAAGATATACTACTCTTACTACTCTACCTACTATCAACTTTAAATACCAAATCGTCTTTAACCATTATATCGACCTAGTCTATAGTTTTGAATACAAAGAACCGAGACAATACGATAGATATTTTGAAAACTTAGATACTTCTATATAACAATAACCACAAGACGATACTTATAGCTTTAGCTACCAAAACCAACATATTATCTACCGAGTTCTATCTTCTCCTAGCTTATCTTCTTACCAAGACGAAATCAACAACCCTAATTATCAACCTCCTCCATGCTTACCTTGAGAAATATTTGAAATACCCCAGTACAAGTCACAGAGCAAACCAAACATTTTATAAATGTAGACCTTGCTGCTATCCTAGGAGCATATATTAAAGAACATTACTTACAACGAGAAGTAACTGTATAACAAGAAGAACCTATTGAAGAAGCGAAAAGCTCAGATAGTACAGTTCAAGATATCTTCACTGCAACCGAAATCTTCAAACTACAAAACAACTTACCTCCTCTCAAACAACAAGAAGATAATCTTCTACCATCTGGTCAACAAACAAATAATCTACTACTACTAGAGCAACAAAATAATAATCTACTACCACCCGAATATCTGGAACAACCTACCACCTCCACAACAACCACTTGTAGTATCTCCACAACAACTACTTGTAGTACCTCCACAACAACCACCCATTGCACTTTCTTTAAACATGGCTGACATTGCTTTAAACAATACTGCAAATACAATAACTTAGTTGGCTAATGTCTTAACCCCTAGCAGTGAAAAGTTCTTTATGAAAATTAATTTCTTCACTGGTAATAGAAATCAAGACCCAGTAGAATGGTTAGAGTAGTCATCAGCAAAATTTATATAGAGATATATATCGATTACTAACCCTATAGATATATATCGATTATAATCCCCCCTGCCGATTATCATCGATTATGATAATAATCGATATATATCCGGTTAATTTTCAAA